TACCTACATTGCTGCTTGCTCCAGCATCAGAATCCTTACCTTGATTTTTGTTAAACCCAACAATGAACTCCTGCAATTGTAACGATAATTGTTGCAGTTGATTAACCATCCTTGATTCAGATTGTGCCACTGCTTCTGTTATTCGTGCTTCGTTGGCAGCATGCGCCTCTTGAAGGAGAGCCTGTAACTCTTCACGTTTGCTTGGATCGCCCATAGTGTTTGGCTCTGATACCAAGTTGTTATGGTCACGCTGAATGGATCTTGTCACAAGGCGATTCACTGGAAAGTCTGTGTTGAACAGATCCTTTCCCCTTGTTTCTATTCCGTGAGCGACCTATTTTGGTAACAATAAATAAGCTCGTTAAAGGGAGCCTATAACCTTAGGACTCGTTAGAGAGAGACCCAGATCTCTTGTTGTTTTATATAAATCTTGCATGCCCGTTTTTTATTCCTTCTGTCTCTTTAAATAGAGTGTCTTATTACAAAGCTATTACGCATAACTAGGAGTCTACGGATATAAGAAATCTACTAAATTAAGAATTCTAGTAAAATTAAACTACTGACTATTTAATGCTCAAATATCTACCAGGTGCATCTGCATTCCTATCTACTTATCCTCTTTGACGTTATTTTCCTCAACTCAAGGGCCCCGCCTTGCATAAACTTTACCCACGAATGAGTCTGTAACATAGAGGCCTAGGCTAAATTACAAGTATGGGGACAAAGGAGTACAAGGAAACTAAGCTAGCGTTTGGACATAGATTTGATTGAAACTTGAAAAAAGAGTTTTTGAAGTTGTGTTGAAAAATAATTTTTGAAAGTTGAAGTTGTGCTTGGACATACATTTTATTTGAAGAAAGTTGAAGTTTTGTAAGTGGAAGAAAAAATTTCACCATGGTTTAGACCAGTTTTTGGGAACTTGAAATTTTTTGAATTTTGTTTCTTCCCAAAACATGATCATAGTTCATAAACAATGTTTTCAATTTTTTTTTTTGAAAAAATGAAGCCAAAATCTATGGCCAAACGGAAGCTAAATATGGAAGGTACAGTATTCTTTAGAGAAAACACTAGTGTAAGACAAGGAAACATAAAAGTCTTGTATAGCAGAAGGCTGTGTAGTTGAATGCTTTTGAGTATTATTGGATGCCCTGGTAGCTTGTCCTTCATCTCACATTTATAGTCGTCCAGGTACTTGGAGTCTAAGTTTGACTTGGGTCTTCCATTAGTCCGTTGAACTTAGTCGTTGGGGCCGGTATCTGCTCCAATGATCTCCATGGAGGTTGCTGTGGAAATTAAATTGATGACATATTTTTCCTAGTGGTATTTTTTGATAAGGTGTGTCCTGGACTCCTGGTGGGATTGTGTCTGTCTAATGCTTCATACAAATATAGCTATGAAGCTTGGGACACCGGTTCAGATACGACATGAAATTTTTGTCTCCTAGTGGTGTTGTGTCCTCTTATTTTCAAAACTTCATTTCATACCTGACGTGGGTGTCCAATGATTCATAATGGTGAATTGGTGATCTCTCAATTTATGTAAATGCTTAACTTTTTTAACCATCATGAAGGAGAGAAGCTCATTAAATTGTTCTAGCTTGTGTGAACAATATATGGTAGTCCAGTTTAGGGAATTAATGAAGTATATTATTTATAGCTACTAGGATGTTTTCTTAAAATATCCTAGGTCAGATATAAACCATGTAAATATAAAATGTTATGTCCTAGTGGATTTGTGTCCCTCTAATTTCAGAACTTCATATCATGCCCGACACTGGTGTTCCATGCTTCGTATTTGTTCTATCTCAATTTGCAGAACATGTCAATTAATTTTTTTGTTCAAAAGAAGATCATGAGGGAGAGAAGCTCATTAGAGATGACGTAACATTGTAATATGTTCCAGTTTTGGAAATATTCATGCTTAGAATCTATTACCCTTCAACTTTGTTTGTAGGTTTAAGAAGCTTTTGCGCGTTCTTATTACAGAATTCTGGTAAAAAATTAAGACGCTTATTCAAAATGAACTACAAAGGCCTTAGAGGTTCTGAAACTCTGAGTGCTGCATCCTCTGTTCGAAAAGCAAGTTGTTTGCATATATGTGCGTTCATTGGAAATGAATATCCAACTAAGGTGTTAGTTACATGGGTCGGTCCTTAGAGTTATGTGCTTTCTAAGCAACTTAACCTTTGTTTATCTTTAAATCTTTAGAGGTTCTGAAACTCTGAGTGCTGCATCCTCTGTTCGAAAAGCAAGTTGTTTGCATATATGTGCGTTCATTGGAAATGAATATCCAACTAAGGTGTTAGTTACATGGGTCGGTCCTTGTTATGTGCTTTCTCAGCAACTTAAATGTTTAATTCATTTATCTTTAAAAGATAACCTTTGTTTTAAGGAATACGTATCTACGTACCATTTTCTATTAATAGTATTGTTGGGGTGTACCCATTGAGCATCTAGACTCTTCCAATTTATTTCAAAGTCATCGGCTCAGATTACTTTTAGTTGATCAATTGTTTCTGCAGCCGGGCTCCTTGGAGTGGCTACAAAGGGTCCATTATGATAAATAACTTGGGGAACAGTTTTATTAAAATCTACTCCCTTAAGTTTTGAATTAATTTCTTCGATTAATTCTTCATTGCTATTGTTACTTCCATTTCCCTCCGGGGGTTTAGAAGAAGAAGGTCTAGTAAAAGACATTCTTCTACTTAAAGAAGCTTTACTAGCTGAGCCTAATTTAAGTCGATGGCTCCTGTTGGATATTGAATGACTTGTTCGATGAAGGAACTCTCAGGTTCATATTTTGGTTGGGTGATGGCGTCAAAACGCCATTCATCTTTTGACAAAATTTCATCCCACTGAATCATTCTGGGGACGAAAGTATTACTATGTTCTTGGTTTGCTTCCATGAGCATAGTTACTCCTTTATTACTTTCGATTTTAGCGTTTGGGGCTAAAGTTGTTGTCATTAGTCTGTAATATACTCTATATATCACATCTATTTTTCTTGTATTAACTTTGCTATTCATGTTTTTTGTTTTTATATTAAGAGTTAATGTATCCAAAACATTCTGGTCATTTATGTCAACCGAAAAGTTTGAATAACAGTTAAAGTATACCGGGCCTTGGGCTAGGTTACTTTGTAAGACTATTAATAATGAATCATCAAAGTTTAATAATCGGTCATCTCTTAATAAGAGACAAAGAGGGGTGTCTAAACCTAATCTATATAAAGGTTTGACTGCCACTTGTACTAATCCTATGTGGAGAAAATTATATTTTTTCCTATATTGTTGAATATCTCGTGCTGCCAGTAACTTGATCATTTCAATCGAGTTATTGATAGCAACAGTGGATTCGCAAGTCTTGATGTTATAATTTTTTATAAAATCAAACTTACCAGTATGGTATATTGTACTGTAGGATTCTCTTGGAATACTCCAATTTTGTAAATCGTTTTCAATTTTGGGCTTTTGGCAATATTTGTTACTGCCAGGGATTGGTTTATATTATTAAGGATTTTATTCTTATCTGAATTATTCATTTCAGAATTGAGATGTACACCTGTTAATATTATTTTTATTAGTTTTTAAATAACTAATGAAATTAATTTTTTGTTTGGTATATCTATCGAGGGTTCGATGTTTATACCTAATTGTTTCTAATACCTCTTCTAGAGATATTCTTGGGTTATTAACTTTTCTATAGAAAATGAATAGATTTCTAAGAAAACAAAGTTCTTCAGTTACTTCTGAGATGTATTTGCTTAGTTTTGTTTTAAATTTTAAAAGAAACCATCTGTGTTTATTATGAAAATCTATTTGCCTAAATGAAGGATGTTTTTTCATTATATTTAAAACTTTTCAAAGTTTTACCAGTATTTGAGAAGCATACTATTCTTAAGGCGTAAGTCTACTTTCTTTGTTATCCTATCATGTATTATTAATCTTAACAGTTCTATATTGTTCCTAACTGTATAGTGTCTACTATTTATCTTCTTCTTCGCTTGCAAATCTATTTCTTAAGTTATCTTAGTTGTGTTCTTAGTCCTAAGTTATCGTGGGAGTTGGAGATTAAACGTGTTAACTGTGTCCTGTTGTGTCCTGTCTCTGACGGCACTCCCTAGCCTATGGACGACGGCAACTGACGGCAGTTTAATAGGGTTTAATCAACATCCTACAAGGATCCCTTACACTATGAACAGAGAACGATAACCTCACACTAGAGAATAAGATCTTGAAGCTTTAAAGAAGATGAACAGTAAACCTATGCAGAGATGAACAATATAGAGTAATTAAGATTTATGACATGAACATGATAACAAGATTTCGACGAACCCTAAGGTTAGTATGAGAGGTTTAGCCTCTCATACTCAGTAACATGGCTCTGATACCATTGTGAGGATCATAAGTTTTATAATGTAAATTATAAAATAAATGCGGAATTTAAAGCATAAGTAAGAACACTTACAAGATAGGAGCTTTATTGAAACATAAGCAAATTGTTTTTACTGGGAGGGGAGAGAAGGGGGAGAAAGTAAATCTTAAGAAATTTTCTGATGCTTAACGATTACATTTTGAAAATCTTATATAGACTTCTGAGAAACGTTGAGTTAATCTCAACTTTACAAATGGACGGTCCTTGTTGGATGTCTTCTGCTTTGTTGAAGGGGCAAGGTACTATTCTTGTCTCTTTGTGGTTGTCGCTGTCCGGTGATTCTTTCTTTTCCGAAGAATCGTTTGCTTCATCCATGGAACAGAATACAGCAATCATATGATTTCGAAAATTTATATTTCATGCTTTACCATGGCCCTCTAGTTGGTCTATGCTATTCTAGTGTTAAATTGTCTAGTTTTACTGTAGTTTCTCTAGTACTCGTCAGTTGTCAAACCTTTAAGTTTCTGTACCTTATGACTTTTGGAAACTCCAGGAAACTTTTTTCTTCTTTCATTTGATCATGATCCTTATTCTGCTTTTCGTTGTAATTGTCCATCGCGCACCCAGGCATGCACATTACCAAACAGGAAATACACCGTTAACATTGGTTTGGAAGGATGAGAACTGTAGCCAGTATGTCATTGATACAGATAATAGAGGACAAGTTCCAAGTCAACAACAGGTACATCACTCTGTGCCCTTCCATTATATACCTTTTGATTTTGAAAGTTGTTATAAGTCAAGTATGTCATTGATAAGGTTACACAAGGGGGCTGTAAAACGAATCAAGCCACTAAAAGACCTCACTCCCAAGGCAACTAAAGAAAACTGTGTTTTGAGTTTCTTTTGTCGAGCAATTGAAGTTCTTGCCAACAATTTGAGCTTGGTTGAAGCTTGAATTGGTAAATGATTTGGCATATTTAGGTATTATGAAAGAGTAAGTTAATCAACCTCACTTAAGGTTGTCTGAGCTTGATCCCTAAAATAGACGTGATTATCATGAAGAAAATTCTAAAGCTCACCATTTTACTTGACTTAGGCCTCTTCTCCTTAATCCTGCTCATAAGCAGTTAAGGATATATTTCTTGATTTCACAGGTTTTTGCTTAGTAGTTGGTTAGTACATCAAAAATCTACTCACCAGACACTGTAATGTACTAAAGTCCACCTATGGATGCGAACGACAAAATTACCTTATTTAGACTTATGTTTCTGGCATATCGGAGTGCTTGCTGGTCATAATTAAAAATTTAGTGAATCATTTGGTTTCGTTCGCATCATGTGGTTTATAGCATTATGAACAGGAGATCTGTCACACATATAAAGGCTAGAACTAGAAATTATGTCCCTGATTCAAGTCGAATCTCTTAGTAGAAAAATTAAAGGGTGTAACTTTATGTTGTAAGGATTTTTCTGAACCTTAGGCTTGGGGTCATAAAGTGATATAATCACATTCGGCAGTGATATCGTTGTAGTATTGTTCTTGTCGTTAGAAACAATAACGTGGATTTGGAATTTGTGTTTATAAAAATGTATCTTTTAGCTGTGAGGGTGGATGTTCTGGTACAACGGTACATGACCAAAGCTGCCAGCTTGGGACGATGTAATCGAATTTGTCGACTACTTCGGTTTATGTAACAGGAATGAGTTTGTAATCCGCTTTCCTTACCTAAAACCCGATTTGCTAGATATTGACTTTTTTGGGTGACTGGGTCATATCTATACAATTGGAGGAAAAGATTAGTAATCTACTTTTCTTTCTTGAGTTTTAGAGAATTTGGAAGGTTTAAAATTGTAAAATTATTATTTTTGAGCTGGAATTAGGGATAAAAAGTGCTGCTGAATTTTTCAAATCGTTATTCTATTGTCTTTGGATCTAGCATTCCACATCGCTATTGTATTGTTTTTGGAACGGAGGACGGATTGTATTGTTCACCATATGGATTTAGTGAATTGTGGTAACATGGGATTCACACATTCTGTTTCTTGTACAACCAGGTAGTTTTGGAGCTCCTAGATGATAGCAGACTGGCTACATCTGATGATCCTCCTGTCATATTTGGTTGCTTGCTTGGGGAATTCATACAAAAGGTACGATCGTATCATCATTTTGCACTTTATTTAATTGGGATTAAGAGGAGGAAGGATAGAGGAGAGGCGTGAAAAAGCCCTCCTAGTCAGCTTTCTCAATCCTCAAAAATTAGGAAGAAGTAGATCAGTTTGGTACCAAAAGAGTGGAATTCATAGTAGCTCTTTTCTTTCTCCTTTTTCTTTTTCTTCCCTTTTTCATATACCGTTCCTTGTCTTGTTATCCATTACTGAAATCTGTTCTCATGGTCTTCAGACAGAACTTCAGCGTGGAGATCTTATAAAGTTTGCTATAGGTGAAGGCGGATTAGTTTTTGTTGACAGTAAACTGGAGAAAGCTGATCTACAATACTTGGGCAAATCCAATCGTGCTCGTGCTTTTGCTGATAGTTACTCGAAGGTTAGATGGTGGATTTCAGATTCCATGTCCTATATTGGAGTTGCTGATTCAACTACCAGTTTAAAATGTTAATCACGTAAATTTGGTGCCAAGTGTGGGGAGGATACTCTTTTTCTTTTCTTTTTTTAATCACAAGTGTCCATCCTATATTTTATGGTACCATGCCATATCACTGTTGTAGTCCATGCGCATATTTGTTGGATCATTGCAATGGTTTGCTCTTTAATTAAGTATCTTGGCATGTTTCGACAGAATTCATTTCACAAATTATGTCATTCAACTCAGATGTGCTTCATTATCATTGGATGCTTCGTTTGACATAGTAACTTGGTTTTGTTTGTCAGGTCTTGTTCCAGTACGCTGCTCGACATTCTCCTCTGAGAATTGAACATCTTTTTGCATCAATCAGTTCATGTGTCGAAGATGGAAGATCAACTCAAGATGCAGATATGGCTGGTTAAAGGTGCCATGCACGGGAAACTTTTTTCAACTAAGCCTTACAAAATTGCGTTGTTAAGAAATTAACAACCCAGAGTGATGGCATGATCTTTCTCGTCTACATTGTTTTCCTTGTTTGGAATGTGTATATATGACCCCAGAAAATACATATTGGCGTCGTGTAAGATGAGAATAGTGGTGAATTAGTAAGATATATGCCGTGCTTTTACTTCATCCTGTGAGGTTCTTCCCCTGCTGAAATTTAGACCTCTCCCCCCTCATCTCATCTACTCTTTCTTCTTAATTTGGGCAACTAAGCTTTTACAAAAGAAGATTAAGGAGGGGAGACCTCTGAAAATCCTAAGCTTCTGAATGCAGAGTCGCAGAGACACAGCTGAACTTATCTTTGGTGTCAAACAGTTAATACTTTGAACGTGATATTGTTAAAACTGGCTCAAAAGTTAAGTGCATGCAGTCTTGAAGGTAAAAAAAGTGGTAAAGAAGAAATGCACGATGCTCTCTTGGTCAATACTTTGGCATATTATTCTACAACAGAATATTTTGGAAATCATATTGTTCGTTATGAACAACTCCAACACTCTCTTCGTCCCCCCACCCCCCACCCAAAAAAAAATTATCATGGGAGGATATTAACAAGTTAAGTGAGACAGCTGCGTCTAATGCACAATAGCGGGTAGCTGATTCATTTTATTGTTAAACCATCACATCAACGCTGGTAACTGTATTCAGCAAGTGGTGGGAGTGAAAATGGATGGATTTGGATAGTGTGGCGACCATCCTGAAGAAAGAAGAAACGAAAAGGAACTCCCAAATAACATCTTTTCCAGCTGCAATGAAAATCTGAAGGTGCTAAAAACTAAAGCTAGTGTACAATTATGGCATCTTTTATTGTATCGGAACAAATTACAACAAATCTTATAGCAGAATGATTTCGCCAGTGTACATTTAGATCGGTTCAAGAAGCAAGAGTGGTTGCCTCACAACCATCATGGACACAAGCTAAGACATCTTTATAGTCCCTTGAGAAGGTGAAAGAATCATAGACTTTACCATCCCTGCTCTTTTTGTATTCAAAAAGAAGCGATGAATGATTAAAGGCTGTAAGCTTGACGAACCCCCAATCATAATCCTTGTAAAGACTCCAAGTGGTATTAACAGGACTGAATTCTGATAAGTGGCTCCCTCCGCCACCTACAACAACATGGATTGTCCCATTGACAACACCAGAATAGTGTGATCTTTCCGAGTTCACGCATTGGTTCTGCATCATAGGAAAGTCCAATGTTAAAACACAGAGAATGGACTTATGTTATAGTAAAGGGTAATGGATCACATGCAGCTAGTTGTTCTCTAAAAAATTTCATGTTTTTGCCTTTACTTAAGAAAGGTCCAGATATCAATCCTGGTATAAAATGCCCTTGTCTATTAAGTTAATCGGTTAGTTTCTTTATTTTTGAAGACCGAATAATAAGAGCATGAATTACTGCCAGCATATGTTCTTGCTAAAGACAGGTTTATTGGTAAAGGAAAAAGAAGGAAACAATAAGAGAAGCCAGAAAACAAAGGTGTTTTGGATAGAAATGAAACCAACGGAAAAGTTCCATATTTTTCCTTTTAATTCTTTTGATGGAAGTATCCTCTCTTATCTTAATGCAAGTAAGATTAAAGTGTCTGGTGAAATGCTGACGGAACTATCTTGATAGCCAAAACTCCCTAATAAACTGTATTTGCATCTATTCTTTTCAAGCTATCTCATTTTAATGTCCGTCTTTCCAGAAAGGGAAATATAAAGAACACTTCTAAAAATTAATTATCTAGTATAGTAGATGAGACCCTCGGAGCTATACTTGTCCATCTTTGTATTATAAAAGAGAACCAAATTATAGTGTTATCCAATAAGTTTATTCACTTGATGCCAATGCTCCAACATGTTGAGACGTACAAGTAGTAAAATGCAGTTTCAATACGGCCATATAAACTTTCCCAACTATGGATGTGATTTCTAGTTCTGAGTCTATACAACTCAGACGTAAGCTTCGACATCAGAAACGAATTGTATGATTCAAAGTTAGAAAAGATAAGGAGCAATGCTTACCTGGTAAATGGGACAAGTTCTTTCATAGTTATGAACATGACCATAAAATGCAATATCCACTTTATATTTCTGCCAAAGCTTCTGCAAGCTCTCTCTTCCCATGGGCTCCTCAAATGAACCACCTATGCCATACCATTTGTCAGAAGAGTAACCAAGAACCCGATGAGCAGAAAATATCAGCCAAGGCTGCTTCTGTCTGTCTACTGATGCAAGACAATGTTCAATAAATTTATATTGGTCAGATCCCTCTCTCCAATCATGCTCGCTGTCTGCTATGCAAAAGTGAAACATGCCATAATCTGTTGAATACCTACAGTTAGGATACATAAGTCATAGCAAAATGTCAGAAGTTGACGGAAGAGAGTGTTCTAATATAAATGATTCAAGCGCTTTCAACACACATGCTGCAAGTAAGCTTTCTTTACGAATGTAACTTGATCATCTCTCGCTTCCACATCCCAAATTGAATATCTTGATATATTTTTTAAGGGACAAGCTTCAACATCTTTGTCCATAACTTCTAAAGTTTTTTTTTCTTTTCCATAACTTCTAAAGTAGTGAAAAATATCAACAGAAAAAAAACAATGAATTCATCTTCTTTCACTATGGAGACTGGACAAATTAAAACCAACCAAGATCTTCAATTGGAAAAATGTGCACAGGTACAAGCTAGTCTTCAGTACAAGCACTTAAACAATCTTTCAAGTCCTTTTTTTGTTCAATAGAGAAAGGTTACCCACCCTTTTTAAGCATGAAAATTCCTTTTACTTGTCACAGCAGAACCTGATTCTTTCTTTTCTTATTGTGTGTGTGTGTGTGTGTGTGTTGTGGGGAGAGGGAGAGGACTCTAAACAACTGATTGCCCAGACTTTCATGTCAAATATAATGAATGATAGAGAATAGTTTATTACCAAAACTTAGCTCTATTATCCGCGGGAACATAAAACATGGTTTGAGCTAGCACTCCACATTCTCCACCAGAATCATTACCCTCATAGAAGGAGCCAGTTCCAGGGCAATCACGCTCATGATTACCACTGCAAGGAGTTCATATTTCATAGAAAAAGAAATAAATGAAAAGTAACGGGTGAAGCTTAATAACACACAACATTGTTGAGGACACGAACCTTGCAATCATATAGGGTACAGTTGATGCAATAGGTTCCACTTGTGCAGTAAATTGGTCCCATTGTGATATATATCCATTGGCATACGTAATGTCTCCTATATGAAAAACTATGTCAATGTTTTTTAGATCCTTGATGAGTTGGTCTGTTGTATTGAGTGAGCCCGGTTGATAATTACTATACTCATTTGAACCATCACGCTCAGCCTGAAAATCACTATAGAGTTTAATATTTTCTGATTTGCACATTGACAAAAACTTTATTGAAGCAAGGTTCAAAGAAGATGAAAGCACGAGATTCTGTAAAGTCCGTTTTCTGCTCAAAATGAACTACTACAAAAATAATCCACATAAAGCATCTCAAGATATCTACCACAACCATTCGATGAAACACACTCTTTAAGTTAGTCAATGGTTAGTGATTTCAAGTTCTCAGGAAAAGAGTGATGCTTTTTTAAAATGCAAAGGGTACACTAGAAGGGCCTGACCTGACAGTAAGCAAAGGGGATCTATGAAAGATTACCACAACATTCAGATTACATCAGTGAGAGGTAGCCTACTAGCAAATAATTCCAAACTGGATGTAAGTGCTCAGCAAAGGAGAAAATACAAGCTTAGTCTTTGGCCATCATACCAATTATATCAGTTACCAAAGATTTAAAAATAAATGACTGATGCCACATGGAGTGGCCTTACATTCTCATAAGATCAGTGGTAGCACAAGCTTAGAACTTGTAGTTTATCAGATCATACACATTCTAAAGAAAGGAAATATGATCATGAATGATAGTTTGAACTCAATATATATGATATGATAGTAAATGAAAATTTTGTTGCTCAAGTTACTCACATACGTCTTAATAACTCGAACTATATGCAATTACTATACTGCTCCTAAAAACAAATTTAGTAATAACCTAGTAATGTGATGCTTAAATCAATGCCTATAAGACCAATGTTTTAAAAGGCGTGGGCGTAAGGCGAGGCGTTTTACATATGCCTCAGCGGGGTGTAAGCCCCATAGGTATTTAGTTTTTAATATTTTATAAAATAATATAATGACAGTAAATATTTATAAACAGGTAAAATTGCATAAATATTGAAGAAAACTATATATATGTGTGCTCCATCCCCATAAAAAACTAATCAAAACAATCTATTATACGTTACTTACAAGCACAACTAATTTGAGTCAAAGAATAAAGTTTTCTATATGGAGGAACAAAAAGGATGATTAACTTGCAATTTGACCTTTGAATTTGCTGCTATGAAAAAGAATGTAGTTCTCTTTGTATTTATAAAAAAATTTAAATATTCGTTGCTTTTGGGAGATATTAGCAGACTAGCGGACAAGATAAAAAATTGGGAAAACCATGAATTAGGGCTTAAATCAATAAAAAAGGTCTTTACTTTTAAATTTAATACTTTTGAGTTCCTTTTAAACCTTTTGAGTAATTACCAAACTGACTTTTAAGAATTTGGATATTATATGAAGGACTAATTCAACAAATTTTGTTTTAATTTGAAGAAGTCTCTGGGGCTTACTCCTTACTAAAAAAACCGCTCCCCGAATGCTCGGGCGTACATCCGGGCTTACGCCCCTGGGCGTTTTTGGTACGCCTCGCCCCGGGGCTCGCCCCATAAACGCCTTTTAAAACAGAGTATAAGACATGTCTCACATTAATCGCACGAATCTGCAGAATCAAGCTGTCATATAAGACTAAACCTGTTTAACGGGCCGGGTTGACCCGTTTTCGGCCCGACCCGGTAGTTAGGGGGCCGGGTGGGCTGGGTTAGGGGGGTTGGTCCGTATAAAAAAAAATCTGGTTAACCGGACCGGTCGAAACCGGTATAAGAAAATAGTTGTTGAACCGGTTAACCGGACTGGCCCGGACCGGTTCAACGGCTATTTCTGAATTATTTTTTTTAAAAATGGATTTGACCGTTGGCAACAGTCAACTTCAAATTTGACCGTTGCCCAACGAAATTATT